TAGTGTGTTAATGATGATACGCAGAGAAACTTTCCGTAAGATACTCCTGAGTAACTTAGGATACACGTCATTCTAACGTGTGGAAGAAGTATTAGGTGAGGAGCCACATGCAGGCTGACGATCCTTAACAAGACTACAGAAACTACTGTTTAGTGAAAGCGTTTTGACTCGTATACTTGCATGGACATGTGGTTCTTGATCATATCACGAATAGTTAGCATACAATCAATCTCTCGCCTGAAGGCAAGCTGACTCGTCGAAGCCTCAACTTAGATTTTATTCAGTTGAGATAGACTAAGGCAACTTAACTACGGGCCTATGTCTAAAATATTTAATGTTTTACTGAAGCATGTATTATTGCGATTAATTCGGTACATTCAACCAAGGCACTTTACAAACTGCGTGCTGTAATCTATGACAAAAGTGTAAAAGCTAGTTGACTAGGTTAATTCCAAACAGTAAAAATACACTTTTGAGCAGCTTTGCATAATCAAACATTCTTTAATCCTGCCTGTCGTCGACTGACACAACGCAGATGACATGCATAACATGCATCACAAAAATTTCTTTTTCAACACGTCTTTCGTATTCTTTTGAAAGCATTTTACTAGGATGCAAATTTTCTCTTAATGATTTGGTTTTTACAAGCTTGGTTTTGCTTATAGCAGGTAATAATCATGAATCGAGCCTGGTGGAACGAGATGATCTGCATCATTTGCTTGAGTATAGCAACCACATCATTGATGACCAGCTATGACACCCAGTCATTCATTGTTGAATCTATTCTGCATTCCGTACATATGAGGGAGCCAACTAGAATAGACGTGCACGCAGGATATTACGGGTAAGTAAACAGTAGACTTTGACAATGAATGCGAAATTGGTTGGATAATCCATCTATCGTATTATATTGCGACGGGTTTGTGAACAAGGTCGGCATCAATAAGCCTAGTATACAAGAAAACAAAGGTGTTACGCCGTGTCACTTGGTCGGAAACCACATTTGTCAAAGCTCTCAAGCTTCCACACGGCCACGCCGTTTACTACACACACTGCGGTGGTTTGCCTAGCCATAAGCAAAACCGAGGAAGGAGGAAAGATCAAAAGCGTGTGGCGTGTCAAGAGTCATCAGGGTGTGGCCGCTAATACCGCTGTAGGGAAGTAACAGTGCATTTGTTATTGTTTGTGTTATTATTGTCTTGTGATCTTGAGAAATTTGCTTATGTTGTACTGCGGGAAATGAGCGATAAAGAGCGTTCCTTCATAAGCAATCTATTGGTTTCGTCTCAGTCGTCTTTACTTTTCACTCTTATCCAGTAATATATAAATACCATACCGCAAGGCAATACGAGAACGATTACAAGTGGGACGCGGACTACAACAAGTGGCGAAAAGGACTGAAACATGCGCGGACTGTGCGATCTGCAGATTTGAACAAGTTGTTCTTCCTGAAAGGATGGCGACCACGTCGAACACTTCACTGAGCAAATGTTCGGTTAGTTGAGGTAGCAAAATGCTGCACTTTTGAAGGCGAACAAGCAGTCTACTTCACTCCTGAAGGCGAATTAGGAGCAGTCCGAGCAGTAGAAGTAAAATAGCTCTTGTATGAAATCTGACCATTCAGTCCACCTTACGCTGGCGGACTGAAAACACTTTCGTCGCGACTAGTATGTTTTAGCTATGATTCAGACATTAGGCACTTTCAGAGCTGGTTGCCGATCGAAGAAGTCGCAGCATGATGCCAGAAAAGAATCGCTGCATCCTTCTGTCTAAAAAGGTGGATAACGCCGCACATACTACGCTTTTGATGGATCCCTTAAAGTACATTGAATCCTACGGTGCTCGACTCAACAAGATGCTGTTGACGAGAAAGCAGAGGAGAAAAAAGACCGCTAAATTGCCAACTTTCCGTTATGAAATTGTAGTCGCCGTGCGATCTGCCGATCCATGCCCGAGTGCCAAGCAAGCTTTAAGCTTTTGCTACTGCCTACTAACCGAAACACTTGATTGCCTACAGCGCCCACCAGTCCGCAGAATGGCGGTACCCTCATTGAATTTGTATCACCTGCGGCAGTTCCAGCTGAAATTGTCGCTCCGTCCGAAACAGGAAACCACGTCCCCAACAGACGCAACTACCAAACGACCATCTAATAGCGAGAATCTGCCTGGATGTTCCTTGCACGGCGTGTACAACACTGTGTAAACAAAGGACATGGCAGTAAGGTCCCGTCAGAGTACCGACCAGTTCCAAAAAAATTGTGAAATTGAACGTGCCGAACTCCCAGCGTCGCTACATAAATGGATGTCAAGCTGAATGCCTTGAATGTGAAACCGCTCGACACCGGCGCAGATGTATCGATAATCAGCTGCAGGACGTAGATGGAGCCAGGATCGGCAACCTTAAAGGCCCCGCCCGTTGAACTGATAGTTGCAAATGGATCGCAGAAAGATCGAATTCATGAGTTGTCTTCTGCTGAAGTCGTTTCGATAGATAGATTATTTTACACAACCAAGTTCCTGCGCTTTTAGGGGGGAGTGGACATGCTTCAACTGCTGCCATCCTTTCTTTATGGCTTCTCTGCTGTTCGCTGAAGTGCACCATCTTCGCCGTTGACGATCGCCCTCGCAGATGACCTAGAGATTTTAGGTAGGAGAAGTCGCGACAGCAATAGGCTGCTTGATGCCGAAGTATTCCATGCTTGTCTCTTCGCGGCTCAAGCGGAAGATACCCTTTGCCGTAGAACCTGTCGTCAACGCAAAGTTGGACCGCCTTCTTTCTAAGGGAACTGTCAACGATTGATCACTCACGGAAAGACGCTCCCATCGCTCACCCCACAAAAAGGATGGAGCAATACGCGTCTGTGCTGGCTGGCCTCTCCCCGGGCTGAGTGATGCACGTTAGCTGAACCGAAACCACTGTTGACAGGAGAAGGTCTTCACAGCTGAAGGGAGGAAACATCTTCGCCAACATTGACCTGTGACGCCTTTTTGCAGATAATGCACGACGAGAGCAAGACCATGTCCATCAGCACTCCCCCTGAACTCTTCCACTACTACCGCCTACCGTTTGGCGTCAAACAAGCCCTTACAATCTTGCAATCGCTAATAAAGAACAGTACCGCCTTCTTTCGCGTAGATAATGAAAATATATCCAAGATATAATGTCAGCATATTTTGCTGTTGTGAATTGGACAAATCTGATAGAAGCCTATGCCCCAGATTTTCAGGCCGGCAGTGCTTTATGCAGCTTACACTACCGCAAACTTGTTTGCCCCTTGGATATGTTATCGCATTGGTTCGAAGTGGACCTTATTTGTTGGCAGCTTAATGTTTCCAGCTTATCAAGCCGGCTTTTTCTTTTTGCATTCTCTTTATTACTACGCCACTCAAGCTCTAATGGGCATCGGCTTTGCCAGTGAGTATTCACTATTATTAAACATACAAAACACTTCTGATAAGGAACTGGCAGTGTATTACGCTGGACAGGGCTTATATATGTCTGAACACTCGACTAAATCAACCATATCCAGAAATTCTGCTCTAGTGAGTGCCATCGGAAACTGCAGGTTGGTTGCTTTTTATCTACTGTACTTGGTGTCGTGAAACAAGCAAACCGTTTTCAGTATGCTCAACGGCGGTATAATTATGACTCTTATATTTTACCTTCGAAAAAAGAGCGATAGCCTCATCAATGTGGACAAAGATGTCGACGGGCCCAGCTATCGGTGAATGGTTTTTTTT